TATAAGGACAAGAAATATTTCATAAGATTAGTTCTGCCTTATAAAAGTATGTCCAGTGAAATTCAACAAAGTGGAAGAGATGAAGAAACTCCCTGCCATCAAGTCAGAATTGACTTATGGCTCCCTCACTGGGTTTCCAAGGCAACCCGTAACACAGGAGGAAGAGACTGCTGGTCTTCCACTTACAAAGGCTCTGCTGGCCGGTGGAGTCACAAACCACCAGACAGGCATGGCCTTTGGATTAGGAGGGCAGTACCCTAAGGTCTATGCCACCTGAGCTTCCTAAGGAAGAGGGATAAGTAAGAATAATAGATTATTTTTTTTTTAAAAAAAGACAACTACAAGTACATAAGACACACATCAAAGCAACAAACAATTAGAGACACACACTTAAAAAGACAGAATCAATACATGCTATGGACTTTCTATAAGCAGTCATGGGAATTTTCTATTAGCAATGACTTTACATTTTCAGTACCTAACAAGGTACATATTTCATAGAAAGTATGTAATAACTGTTTGTTAAATATTCAGTGGAAGTTTACCAGGGAGAAGAAAAACACTAATATAATTACTTAATAAAAATGGTGACTTAAACAAGTTTAAATCCAACAAAACAGAAACTGACAATTTTACCCAACAATTAACTGTATTGGAAATGAGGCAATTAAAGAGACTAATACACAAATTTGGAGGAAGTAAAAACACATGACTTCTCACAAAACATATGCCATCTTCTGACATTAAAACTTTGAAGTCTACCTATTATGAAAGCAATACGGACACCTTGTTTTTCCTCCATTCTCAGATAAATCTAAAGAAACAAAACAAAAAAAACCTCCCACAGAGTTACCATGTCTTCATTCTAGTCCTAAGGAAACCCTGAACTTTTTACTGTCAAGTTACTGACTCTATAGTAGAAAGAAGTATTTGTCTTATGTCTGAAGAAATGTGGCTCCTATTATGGATAAGAAAATTTTAAGAAATAAGTGTGTCCCCCCCAAAACAAATTTATTGCTGGGTCAACAGCCTTAATTTACTTTTCTTCTCCTCTTTAGTATTTTTTCACTTGGGATCCTGTCCCTCCTAAACTCAGAATTCCTCTGTAAATTTTTTTTTTGCAAGAAAATGATTTAATTTCTGGTTTTCTGAAGTCTTAATTCTGAGTAATCAGTACAAACATAAATTACCACATATAGGCAAATTGTGTCAACACAGTACATTCAAGTAAGAATATAATGTTCAAGACTTACTTTGTAAGCTGAGCTAACTCAAATTCTAATAATCTCTTTGCTTCCAATAAAGTATTTATTTCCTGTTTCATCTGCTTCTCTAAACCTTTTAAGTTGTCTGCTTCAAAAGCTTGAGTCTTTAGTTCATTTTGGAACAGCAGTCGCTTGTTTGATTCTTGCTCTAATAGTAGCGTTAGATTCTTAACCTTGAATAAGAAAAATAAATTAAGACAGTAAAATCTGACAAGTCATTAGACATTATTTGAAAGAAAAAAAATCAATGAAATCTCATGTATTATTTCTATAAGTCTTACTAATCTACAAATTATTAATATTGTAAAAAAATCTCTGGGTTTTTATTTTATTCTGCTTATGACTAGAATTTATCACTAAACCAGTTTAATCTCCAAATTTCAGATATGAGATCTTAAGTTACAACTTTGACTCTTTCTACCCTCACCAGTATGAATATTTTGGAGATTTTGGGGAGCATTCTAAAGGACTATTTAAAGTTCACTGATAAATGTTCACATGCCGTAGTCTATAACCATCCTAAGTTTACAAACTGAATGCACACTTAACAAATATTTACCAAATACTTGCCAGGTGACAATGTAATAAACGAAAAATTTCTTAAGTGTACTTCACAGTATCCTTTGTGACTGGCTCCCTGTGTACATCTCTAGTTCCATCATGAGTGATTCCCAACAACCATATCACACTCTCAGATCTTCAAATATGGCACATTTCCTCTGACCTCACAGTTTTCACATATATTACTTTTATTCATTATTCAGGGGTCAAATTAAATAGTACTTCTTTAGTGAGACCTTCTTTAACTCCCAATAATGACTAATCTTACCAATTCCATTGCTTTTTTCCTTTATAACTATTTGTCACGCATGTAATTTTAAGTTCAATATCTTTATTGCTCTCTGAGCTGTTAAGTTCCATAAAAGTCAAGACAGTAATTAGCTTATATACCTCAGTAACTCCAACTGGTAGTACATAGACACAAAATTTTTATTTTTAAATGACTGAATAATATTTCAAAATTTCAATATACATTCTTTCTGCATACTGGTACCAACAAGTATCTTTAATTTCTTTTTTAGCTCTTTTTTATATGCCATTTTCAGATTACTTTTCCTAAAACAATGTTTTTAAGTGTAGGTTCTATGGTAAGTATTCAAGATAGACCATAAATACTTTGGCCTCTGTTTCTCCTATGACGTCTCAACGTACTATTTCTACTCTGGTCAGTCAAGCCCTTTATCATATTTCTACTCTGGTCAGTCAAGCCCTTCATCATATTATCAACTCAGTGTTCACCTTTCTACTTACTGACATTTGTTCTTTTTTTTAATTTTATTTTTATTATCTTTTTTGTGTGTGTACCGTCAAATCAGATCTGACTGGTACAGGAGGAGATTTTTCCTCCTTCTCCAGCAGAGCATCTGGTGGATTTGAACCGCATACTTCTAGGATTGCAGTGCAGCTTCTTGCCACTAGGCCACCAGAGCTTGCCTGACATTTGTTCTTAAGCTTCTAACACACAAAGTATCAGCCTGCGAGGTTTTACCCAACCTTTAGAATCCAGACACTACTTGTCCCCTCCTTTCAAAGGAATAATGTCTATTCTAGTCTTCTTTTTCTCTCCTCTGTAATTTATTTAATGGATTATTTTTATAAATAATTTTTAAAGTTTAAAATTCTTTGATAACCATTATGACAACTTTTTAAAGCAAAAGGTCATTGTCCACACAAGAGGTAATGTGCCATTTCAGTATAATCCAGTCAGTGCAAAATGGTACAGACCCTACTGATGCAAAATGATACAGATACTACAGAATGAGTGTTCAATTATCTCAAGTTGAAAATTCTAGGAACTAGACAATACAGCAGTAAACATAGGTCCATATAGGTTCTTCATTCTAGTTTAATCCATGTTATTTAAATTACAGATATCAACTCTTCATGCATAATTTACGTCTTATTTTTCTTACTTCATCCTCCATCCTTTCCTTATTTTCAGTCAAATGCTCCAGCTTCTGCTGGGATTGCTTCAGATCAACATCTAGCATGGAACACTGTTTTTCAATATGAACAACTCTATTTTCAGCCTTCTCTCTAGCTTCTCTCTCTTCCTTTAGCTTTTTTTCCATCTCTGTAAAATAAAATCATGACGGAAAAGGGGAAAACTTCATTTCAACAGACTTAATGATCAATATGCATGTGTACAATAAATATGTAAAGAATAAAAAAAAAGGAAATGATGACAAATACATAAAATAAAAACCAAAGCATTCTGTTTAAATCTTATTTCTCTATTATATAATACAAACCAGTGTTGTTTTATCCTGGAACTTTGAATTAAAAATATAATTTCAAAGGGCTGCTTGGAAAGACAAGGCAAAATATTATAATGCAATGTGCAAGAACTGGAGTCAGAAAATCAAAACAGCTGAACAAGCTCAGCATTTCTTAAGCTGAAAGAACTAAAGAATAAATTCAAGCCACGACTTGCAAATGCTTATGGATGCTATGAACAGAATACTGAATGATTCAAGAAGTATTCAAAGCAGATGGGAGTATATAGAGTCATTATACCAAAAAGAATTGGCTGACAAAGAAGAACTTCAAGAAACAACATATGAGCAAGAGGCAATGGTGATGAAGGAGGAAGGGCAGACTGCTCTAAAGGACTTGGCAAAAAAAATAAAGCCCCAGGAATTGATGGATTACCAACTGACATATCTGAGCAAACAAATGCTGCCATGCATGTGCTCACAAGTTGTGCAAAGAAATCTGGAAGACAACTACTTGGCCAACTGACTGGAAGGGGTCCATATTTATTCCCATTCAAAAAAAAGAAAAAAAAGCGGTGACCTCACAGAGTGTGGAAATTATCAAGCAATATCACTAATTATCACACACTAGCAAAATCCCCCTGAAGATCATCCAGAAAAGACTTGAACAGTACATTGACAGAGAACTACTAGAAATACAGGCTGGGTTTAAAGAGGTCATGTCACTAGGGACATAACTGCCAATGTAAGATGGATCTTGGCAGAAGGCAAAGAGTATCAGAAGAATATCTATCTGTGTTTCATTGACTACGCAAAGGCATCTGACTGTATGGATCACAATAAATTGTGACTAACCTTCAGGAAAATGGGAATCTCAGAACACTTGATCGTGCTTATATGAAACCTATACTTGGACCAATAAGCAGTCCTCAGAACAGAACAAGGAAACACTGCATGGTTCAAAATCAGGAAAGGAGTGCATCAGGGATGCATCTTGTTGCCGTATCTTTTCAATGTGTATGCAGAACAGATGCTTTGGGAAGTAGGGCTTTATGAGGAGGAATGCAACATCAAAATTGGAGGAAGACTCATTAACAACCTATGATATGCAGATGACACAACCTTGCTGAAACTGAAGAAAACCTGAAGGACTATAGTCTTCAATATGGACAGAAGCTCAACATCAAGAAGACAAAGATTCTCAACTCTGGGCCAGCTGGCAGCACCATATTAGTTGGAGAAGAGATTGTGGCTGTTAGCAATTACAGTTTGCTCATATCCACAATAAACACCAGCAAGCAGGCAATCAAAAGATGAGCTGCATTGGGAAAATCGGCTGTCATGGACCTCTCCAGAATGCTGAAGAGCAACGATGTCCGTCTAGATTCAAAGGTGCACCTAATCTAGGCCATAATCTTTTTGTTAAGCTTCAGAGGGTTGGACAGTAACTAAGGATGACAGAGGAATAGACACCTTCGAGTTGTGGTGCTGGAGAAGAGTCTTGAACATACCATGGACTGCCAAGAAAACAATTCTGTCTTGGAGAGGATGAAACCAAGTTTCTCCTTGGAGGCAAGGCAAGGATTGTGAGGCTCTGCCTCACTTACTTTAGGCACATGGCCAGGAGAGATTGGTCCCTGGAGAAGGTCATCATGCTCTTAAGGGTGGACGGACACCACAGGAGAGGGAGACCCCAGATAAGATGGACTGATACAGTTACTGGGGTAATAGGGATTGCCGGAATTAGTGAGACTGGCTCAGGACAGAGAAGGCTTCAGAGCTGCTTATACATAGGGTTGCTATACATCATAGGTGACTCAATGGCACATAACAACAATAATATACTGAGAAATTTCTGTGCCAGTCTGACTGGGATCTGTGAGAGCAGCAGCCTTAGAGAACCAGAGACCAACAGGCAACAGAGCAGTCTTGAGACTGCTGACCAGAGCCAGTGCCCTTCACCAAAGCTTGCTGGAGGACTGAGGGAAGATTCCATCACTGGCAGGGCTAAGGAACTTTGCAACAATGAACTAAGTAAGCCAGGGGGCTAAAAATCAAAGGGCTTATGAATATACTTAAAGAAGCTGCCTGAACTGAGGGACTGTATCCTGCTGCCAACCTTCATCATAGCCTGTTAAATTTCCTAATAAACCCCATAAGTTTACTATAAAAACAGCCAACCAACCGACCAAAACAAAACAATAACATACTATCACAGGTTTGGAAGCAGGAGTGGTATCAAATTCCTAAATAACATGCCTCAGGAAACTCTATGAACTTTGATAAATGTCGATGGTTGTAGCGGGGCTTAAAGGCCTTTTGTTCATAGGGTCGCTATGAGTCGTGCTTGACTCGAAGGCAATCAACAATGACAACAATAAAATACTTAAAATCCATTTCACACCCAATGGTAGTACCACTTTCAGGCCAGAAGGTAGATTATATCTGGAAAGTAGAATGACTAAGGAGAAAGATGGAGGTAAGTCAATTAAAAGATGAAAAATAAAGTTGTAGCTATTAATATATCTTATTTAGTTGCAGGAAAATTTCACCAAATTTAAGGTTAAAATGGAAGCACTAACTTATGTAATAGATAAGTATCCAGAGAAACGAAACACTTCATCATTACAGATGATGAAGGTCACTTTTGAGAGATGGTAACTAAGGCTCTGAGGTTAACTGCTCCATGCTCATTCAACTACTAAGTTGAATTCAAACAGAAGTTTATGTTATGTGAAATCTTGTGCCTTTCTTATTAAACACGCTTCCTTAAAAATGCCAGAAAAACCTGGAGAAGACATTCCTGGTAACTCCATCTGTGATAGTGTTATCTAGAAACCAAGAGCTTAATATATATTCTCTTCATATTAATAATTATAATTGTTAAGTATCATAGGCATTTGTTTTTTTTCCTTTAGGGTGGAAGGTCGGCAAAGGAGAGGAAGACCCTCAATCAGGTGGAATGACACGGTGACTGCTGCAAAGGGTTCTCGTGTGTCAGGAAGTGTGAAGATGGCATAGAATAGAACAGGGTTCAAAAAAAAAAAAAAAACAGGGTTCAGATCTTTTGTTCATAGGGTCGCTATGAGTTGTACTTGACTCAACAGCACCTAACAACAACAACAACTACAGAATATGTTACCTAAGAAGAGTTTTTGTTAACCTTAGTCTTGCCTATATTATCAATTGTGCAGTCAACTAATGACCATATGTGAAAGAAATGAAAATAGCTGAGTTGTGTTGTTAATTGCTGTCAAGCTGACTATGACTTAGGAACATCAACTCTGAAAGCTATCCTATTCGATACTATCCTCATCATTTCCAATAAACTTAGCCCACTCTTACAGTCATTGGCCAATCCATCTTGTTGAGGGTACTCCCCTCCTTTGCTGACCCTCCACTTTCCCAAGCATGTCTTTCTCCAAACACTGGCCCCTCCTAACAACATGTCCAAAGTATATAACTCAAAGTTTCACTATGTTTCCCTCTAAAGAGCATCCTGGCTGTACTCTCTTCAAAGCATATTTGTTTGTTCTTTTGGAATCTGTCGAATTTTTAGTGCTCTTCTCTAGCAGTAAGACTAGGAAGATAGATATGTACCAACTCAAAGGTTCTATAGCTAATGAAGAGTCAAAATGTCCTTTACATGCTTGGCTCAACTTTCAGGCAAACAATAGACAGGCCTATCATAGGAACAATAAGACCAGGGAAGCACTCAATCCCAAGACTAACAAATCATATTAGGTTAGAAGACCAGCTCTTGCCAAAGAGTAAAATCCAGAAGACAGGAAAGGACAGGACAAAATGATTAGTGGAAGGAAGAATCACAGAGAAAGAGGAAGAATAGTGTGGTTACCTTGTGGATACTGTAATTAGTATTACAAACCAAAATATGTGTGAACAGCTAAAGGGAAACTTATTTTGCTCTGAAAATTGGTTCTACTCAAATCACAACTAGAGACCTTCCCCCGCAACACCAACCAGTTACTAATGATTAGATGGCAATAAATACCTATAATCTTCAAGGACCAAAGGAAACAATCATGTAAGAATAACAATTAAAGCTCAAATAAGACATACATATATTTATGTGCAACAAACAACACTGGCTCAACATTCAGTCAAGCAATAGAAAGGCCTATAAGGAAACCATTAACACTAGGGAGAGAATCATTCCTTAAAATAACCTACTGTTGTTAATATGTGCTGTCAGGTCAAGTACAGTTCATAGTGACCCTGTGAACAACAGATCTGAACCCTGTCCTATCCTGTGCTATCCTCACAATCTCTAACATGCCTGAGCTTATTGCTATAGTCACTGCGTCAGACAAGGCTGGTGAAAGACAGAGCCCACAAGAAAAGAAGGGGTAGGCTAGAAGGATTACTGGAAATGAGAATCACAGGGAGAAATGGCAAAGAGTGCAATTTCACTGTAGGTAGCAAACAAAATATGTATGAACAGAAAATCAATTTGTTTTGTAATCTTACTCAAATCTCTGTCTCACACATACTCGTCTCTCTCCCTCTCTATCATAAATAATTGAAAGTCGTTCAAGAATTTTAAGGACTAGCACCTGAACCTCAGTTAGCTAGATCATTCTGTCCTAAGCAATAATAGAATGATGACCAGAATTCATTCCAGGAGGAATAAAAATTAAGAGTCTACTGACACTAAAACTAATCAAACTCACTGCTAGTGAACTGGCAGAACACTTGGGGACCCCTTGGGTAAAACTGCCACTTGGAGTTCCAAGGCTGTAAATCTTCAAGGAAGCATATTGCCCACTCTTTGTTCTATTAGAGTGGTTAGTGGGCTGAACTGGCTGACTTTTTGATCAGCAGACAAGAACTTATTCACTGTGCCCACCAAGACTTATTCAAAACAGTTATAAATCATCAAAAGCTTTCTACATAAAGGTACTTTTTATACATTTTTCTCATTTAAATTTTTTTTTTAAAAGAGGTCTCAGGAGGTTAAAAGTCAAAGTACATAAATATGTCTGATTTCAAAGTCTGAGCACATAAAAACTATTTATTATTATTTGGTTATTAACCAAAAAGTAAAAGTAATAGGGAAGAGAAAATGGGATAGATGAGACTATTAGCTTCCTTTGAACAAATGAAATTTATACTGCCAACTGGCACATCTGGGTTGTAGTAGGTAAGAACTGACTAAAAGTAGAAAAATAGGAAGATACTTTTTTTTGAGAAGGGTCAATAAAAGCATGGAGAAAACAAAACTACTCCACTCCCTCCAAAATTAGCAGACAGCTGTGATGTTTTATTGTTTGTTTTTTAAGATGGACAAGATTTTTATAAGTAGGAGTAATTGGAAAAGAAGAGTTGTAGGGAAAAGGAGAGAAAAAGAATGAGTGAGGATTATACCAGAACTCACTAAGACTTCAAGGAGACCAAGAACAGAGTACCAGAACAGACAAGGCCTACCCCCTCTTCAAGATGACGGGAAAAGAAGGAGGACAGATTGAAAAATTGGCAATGCTAGATTATGAGGAGTTCACATATCTGGCTTCATAATTTTTTTTAAAAAATAGAGTATACTTAAAACTACGCTGCTAAAGAATGGCATGTAAAGCTTGAAAAGAGCAAGAAAATATAGGAGAAAGAACTGGTGAGGGAGACATATATTTAACGACAATATATTTTAATGATATATAAAGATGCAAAATGAAGGGAGCTCTGGTGGCCTAGTGTCAAAAAGTTGCACTGCAATCCCAGAAACGCACGGTTTGAATCCACCAGATGCTCTGCTGGAGGAGGAGCAATCTCCTCCTGTACCAGTCAGATGGCAATTTATGGTACATAATAGAAGTAGTAGTAGTAGTAGTAGTAGTAGTAATAATAATAATAATATTAATGAAAAATGACAGTTCAAATGAGGTGAAAGATCACACTATTGTACGCTTAGGCAGTATTCAAAGTGAAGAAAATGTACAAGTGAGTAGTCTATTGGGAGTTGTATACAGAGGCACGTTATCGTAGGTGCCACTGTCTCAGAGGCTACCCAGTGTGCAACAGAACGAAACACTGCGACATTTTCACCATTACTACTCAGCCCACTGTTGTAGTCACTGTGTCAATCAACCTGTTGAGTATCTTCCTCTTTTGTGCCAACCCTCTACTTAACATTTTATAATGGAAAGACAAAGAAATGAGAATTCAAAGAACAAAGCAAGGAAGAAGTAAATGAACAGATAATGAAACAGAAAATAAAGGAAGACATTGAAACACCAGGTGAAGAGAGTAGTTAAACTGATTTTATAAAATATAAGAAATATATAAAATAGAATACAAGAATAAGTGAACTAAAAAAGTATTATGGTGCTTATAAATGGGAAGGAAACTTTCTGGGTCACATTTTATAATTTCAGAGTTATACTGCTAAAACAGTTAAGTTTTGATAAAAAAATTTTAATGCATTATTTAATACTAACCACATACATACTTACCACACATTGCAACAGACTTGGCTTCTTCAATAGACTGATGCTTGTCAGTTAAACGAGCTTTGGTTACTTTATGTTCATTTACTTCTTGTTCTAATCGTTGTTGTAATGATTTAAGCTTGTAGTTTAAATCTATCTCTAGATTATTTTTTTCCTGTAAGATGGGAATAAAAATCACTTAATACACTGTACAAAATACATTTATTTAATCTTGGTTGTAATATCCCACATGAAATGAACTACAGTGGCTTAAAATATGACACCATATTTAAATATATGTATTCAAGACACAAAAATAAAACACCAAACTTTCCTTAATATTATTTCTGATACTTTACTTTTAAAATGAAAACAAATACCTATAATTAAAAAGAACATAGCATACTTTCATCCTCTACTCTTTACCCTCCATGATGAATCATTAAATATGCCTGATGTCAAGCAGGGTTGGGGTAGTATTTTGATTCAGCAGGGTTCATTTCCAGGAGCAGAACTAATTCTTCATGTTTCATTTCTATTCTTCTTTGTCTTATTTCTACTTTTGCACTAGGCTTATGCATAAAAATTAAAAAAAAAAAAAAAAGACACCCCTCCCAAGGACTTGAAAACCTGTTGAAATGACAATGCACAAGGTAGCTTTCCTGTTAAGCATCTGAGCTGTGGTTCAATCTCCAGCATTTCAAGGATGCAAACTAACAGTGGGAACTAGACCTGCATGTTGTCTTTGTAATCCTTTTCCTAGCAAAAGTAACAAGAGGATAACTAATGAGATCTTAAAAGTTAAAAAGAAATCCTAACGCTGTAGGCTATTTTCTATCCTCTTAACTTCAACACAATGAAACAAATACATACATTATATTCCAATCAAACCTTTGCTTTCTTTTTTCACAAGGACTTTAGTCTTGCCCACATACGAAGAAATTTCCAAAGCAAAACAACTTACTGATACCCAGAAACACATAAAAGGCCAGGATTATTGCACTGATAGAAGCTGGCTGAGCCCCTGAGACTACAGACCTAGCCATCCTTCCAATGAGTAATGAAACTCACTCCCATAGCTCAACTTTCAGAAAAAAAAAAACACACCAAACCCAGACAGGCCTTTGTAAGGGAGCATTACCAGGAGGGGGCACTCACTACTCAGGACAGCCCTTCCTGTATGGTGAGAACAGCCTAAAGGTAAAACCCAGAAAACAAGAAAGGGTAGGACAAAAGGGTTATTGGAAACAAGAAGTGAGAAGAATATGATTATAATTATTGTAATAATGAATGTTCTGAAATCTGGATCAATAACTGAATGGAAATTTACTCTGTAAACTTTTATTCAACTCACAAGTGGCAAAACATCCCAAAACAACGCAACCAAAACCAAACAAATAACTTATTAAGGATCAAAAGACATTAAACATCTAATAGCTTCAAGGGTTAAAATAATTTGGTAAGAACAATAATGTAAATACAAGTAAGGTATATATACATTCATGTAATAACAACCAAAACCAAATAGATATGTCAATTTCAGGACTGAGTACTATTTTATAAACCACTTTATGATATTTTGTAACTACCAATTATTATCTTCACCTTAAATGGTGAATGTTAATCTAATTATTCCTTTACCTTTTCTGAATGACTAAGCATGTCTTGAGCCTCTTTTCGTTCTCCTTCCATTCTTTCAAGATTGTTTTTGAGATGCTTTACCTCCTCTTGTAAAGATGTAATTCGAGCTATTAGGTGGGAAAAAAGTTCAAGTCACACAATAATAGAAAGAAAAGTCACTCATCAATAAACAAATGGATAGAAAAGCTGTGGTATCATCACACAATACCATGCAGCATTGAAAAACAAGGAACTCATGAAATATAAAAAATGGGTGACACTAGAGGACATTATGCTGAGCGAAATATCTCAGTCACAAAAGGACAAATACTGCACAGTTCCATTGTTATAAAACAGGACTGACATTGGGGCAGGGGGGTAACTGAGAGGGGATAAATTATGTACATGCATTGAAACAAATGAGGGAGAGAACTGTTTAAAAGGAATATATGATTAGGTATTATTTGCATGACAAGAGTCCAGAATAGGAGTTGTATAGTAAAGTGAACTGGCGAAGTGGGAGGTGTATAACAATAAAAGAATTTTTTTCCACGAACTTGGGGGGCAGGGAGGAAAATGTACAACAATCAATGAATGGATGCAAGCCAAAAGGAAATAGAGAAACGAGAGGTAGAGGGAGAGAGGAGAGAGAGGAGAGGAGAG